GTTGTCAGGCTTTTAATTAAGCAGAAAGACTAATCAGGCGTTTGTTGTCTATGTCCTAAGGTTAGACAACATTTCCGTTAGACATTTCCTATTAATGAGTGTTGGACATTTTACGTAAGCCTGCAAATAAACATTTTGTTGTACTCAATCAATAAAATAACCAGTATCTGTTTGTTTTTTTAAGGATTTAGCAGTGTTTCCCTTGAGAGAATTTTTATAAAGATTTATAGATAGATGGAATAAGGGAAGCATAGAACTATGTTTTAAAATCAACGATCCTCATCTATGCAGATATTTGTACCATAACATCAGATAGTGATGTTGACAGTAATATAAGTGTTTCATGACTCAATACAGAAAAAAGTTAGAATAAGTAGATATCTTTCTTGTCTATCAGGCAGGAAAAGAATAGAACTTGCCGCAATTGCACTTTTGGTATTAAACATATATAATTATGAAAAAAAAAGTTTAAATAGAGCCTAAGGAAGGAATTTAAACTTGTTCACTATGTTAAACATGAAACTAGCCTGTTTCTTAGCGGTTTTCCGTGCTGATATTCACAAACCTAGTTTTACCATCAATAGCTCAAATTACCTAGAAGAATACTTAAAGGTGTTCACTGTACCAACTGCTTCTTGGAAGTAATTGTGCAGTCTTATGCATTAAAATTTTTTTTTGAATACGACACATTTACGAAGCTTTTATACCTGTCAGTGTTTATTATTATTATTATATTCTTTAATTCCTAGAGGAACATAGGGCTTCAGCTGCGCGTCTCCATTGCCTTCGGTTTTCTGCCAACGTTTGGAGTCATTTAAATTACCATGACTGATGAAATTGTACCTCCTGGGAGACATCTTCGTGGTTGTTGTTTCTGTCTCTATTGATCATTTTACCAAATTGAGATTTGAACAGTGGTGGCCAGGAGACACAATCACATTAGTCATTGGGAATTGAAATAAGTCTATTCTACACTAAAACCTGAGTTGAAAATGTTGTCTAGAATAAATCTCCACCATCACATTAGGAAGTGCTTTTCATATTTCACTTAACCGATAATGGAAAACACACATGTGACATAAATCAAAAGAATGTGAATTCACAGGCTGTTGAATTCCAGCCAAAGTGGGTGAATGGTAGTCAACCAGCTTGGTCTCGTAACCTGAATGTCCCAGGTCCCTGTCGTTGAGTTGTACGTGTTCACTGTCGAAGATTCCTGAACTAGGGGACGAAACAGTTGTTCAGTGCTCCCTGGTTTCCACTGATCTCTCCAACCGATATTGTTTAGTGACAGATGTTTAACAGCTGAAATAGATCAAAAAGACTTAGGTCAGTGGAGACTACTCTTTGTTTCGTATTTTCACTTCAAATCCGTATAGTTACATAGTATTGTAAAAGGTGAGGTAATTTCCTAAAAGGTCAGATTGTTGGTATATAGATATTTGGATATTCATAAGAAGCAAAAAGAAGGAATTATGTGATGTAAAAAACAAAAACTCTTCACCTAGGTTTAAGTCAGCGTCCGTTAGGGCAGTAAATTATTATTATATCTTTTAATTCCTAGAAAAACATAGGGCTACAGCCACGCGTCTCCATTTCCTTCGGTTTTCTGCCAACTTTTTCACCCCGCTCCAAGTCTTCACACATGCTTTCATCTCCTCTTTACATGACCTCCTCCAAGTCACCCACCCTTGCACTGACGACCAACCCGCAATCCGCTTCTCTTTCGGGTTCCACTCGAGCAGTGGCTTGTCTAGTGATGTCACTTGATGGTTTCCTGAGAGTATGGCTAGCCAACCCATCTCCATTTCTTCCTGCCTATATGTTTCACAATCGGTTCCTGGTTGGTTCGCTCATTGCCAGAGATCCCTGTTGCTGATCTTTTCTGGCCGGCCATCTGATCTTGAGTATTGAGCGAAGACAACTGTTGATGTTTCCCGTTGTGGATTACTTGCCATGCAGCATTGTCGTATAACTGTTGGATGAGATGTAGAATTGTCGATGGGACCCCGTAGTAGCTAAGTAGTTGCCAAATCAGCTGTTGATCGACGCTGCACTACCGAAGGCCTTCTCAAAGTCGATGAAGTTGAGATAGAGAGGTGACTGCCATTCCAAGCTTTGCTCAATGATGATCCGTAGTGTGGCGATTTGATCAATACATAACTTGTTCCTCCCGAATCCACCTTGTTCCGGTCGGAATTTTTATTATTTTATTTTTATTTTTGATTACAGCTTGATTCCACACCGTATTTGTGGTACAGGTATGGAATTTTTAGCGTGGATATCGGTAGCCCAAATTTCTCAGGCCAACCATAGATATCAGGTGTGTGTCGGCGTGGGCTCGAACCCCGGACCATGTGCATGGCCGGCGAGAGTCCTAACCACTGTGCCACCGACACACAGGGGCTTGTTTGATTCTCTCCAGGATGATGCGACTTAGTATTTTGTTTGAGATGGACAGTGTTTAGCATATGGATATTTGAGATACCTAATTAGTTATCTTTGGAACCGCAAGCCAGACACAAATGTTTCTCTTATTTCTTACTAGCTATCCCACAGATCATCAGACTTGGGGGAGCATGTTGACCTTGATCCTCAGTGGGGAAGTGAGAACAGTGGTATTTTGATAGGTCAATTAAAGTTCTGAATATTTCTTTACACGATAACTTACACGTCACCCTCGGACACCCAAATTGTCGTCTTCTGTTTACCTTCCAGTCTGGAGAATGAAGTCGCTCCGCAGTCTTGTCTTTCCCCTCCTACCTTTAATACACTTATCTGTGACGCCTGTAGCTGAAATGATGCGCCTCTCCCATTTACAGTGGAGACGCCTCTAGTGAAATTAAGTTCAAAACAAATGAATATCATGAAGTATCCATCTGATCTCTCATATGTTAAGTTAAAATGGAAAAGTGTCCACTTAAATCTCTAAAATATCGTATTATGAAATCTCATATTCAGCTGTGAGAACATGAACTGTTTGCAAAAGGGTTCGATAGCAGAAGCAGAATTACATCATATTAAGTGGAATAAAAATTACCTGCTGAGAAAATTTCAGTTCTTAGTTTGCAAGGGTTAGATTGCTTACAGGTTTCAACACGGGTTGACATTTGAGAATCTGGGATTACTGGTCAGTTGCTTCATCCTGGTTCGGGGCTCCTCATCAGTACGCACCCTCTGGGGTTCGAGCTCATGACCTCCTGAACCCCACTGGTTACAACTCCTCACTCGAACTCCAAGTAACCTCCCGTATTGAGCTGATAGGGTTCACCAAAACTGGTAAGAGAACAGTCGCTCACCCATGACATTGACTGGCCTTTGCGCCAGATATATCATGAACTGGCACAAGTTGGAATTCATGAGTCTGAATTGGTCTGATTGGTCTAAGGGGACTGCCTAGTAACCGAACGGTTTTGGATTTTGACACCAGTAAGTGCATACTGTTGAAAGATCTCAGACTAGGAAGAAACAGCTGTCCAATACTCCCAGGTTTTCCAGTGATTCTCTAACTGATGACAAATCGTGATCATACCTAAAACAGTTTTAAGCCAGACAAATGGTCTACCTTTTTCCACATACACTTGAGAAAACAATTACAGTCAGACACGCAACCCAAATTGCTATCACAGTTCAAATAATTGTCAATTCTAACAAAGGCATTAACATAAATCCATTGTCTCGTCAACTGTTTGATGTCATTATCTACGAATTTCGACAGTGTAAACTAATTTTAACATTACTTTGATAAAAGTAGTGGTATGAAATAGTGTGTCGGTAGCTCAGGATCAGCATGGTAGGTAGCCACAAGTAACCTCCAGGTTCGAATCCTGATCAGTGCATTCCTAAATGATGGTAAACCCGAAATAAAGTGGAAAGTTGGGTGTGAAGGTAATAAACTCATCTTTTAAAAACAACATGACGGGTACTGAAACTTTAAAGGTTTTCTCTCTTTGTTCCACTCGAAAAGGAATTATTAAAAAGTATAAAAACAAAATTAACTAATGTACTTGCACTAGATGAAAGTAACCGCAAAAATATTAGCAGCAATGAAGCTGAAAAACTACTACAATCCTTCACATTTAGTCACACCTAACTAATAAGTATGATTGTCCTTCAATTGTTGGTTTGTAGGGATTTGATTGGTTACAAGATTTACAAACAAACACTTGAATATCAATGAGATGCTCACTAGCGACTTGCCCTATTCCGGTAGGTAGTTACCTGGGGTTCTAGTGAGAGGTCGTGACCAGTAGGGTGCAGCCGGTCGGGTGTGGGAACAAATACTCGCTGAAGACATTCGCTAGGGGTCGCGCTATGTCGTGAATTGGCAGAAGTTAGAATTCATGGGCTGGCCATTGGATCGGGTCTCAGTGGCTCAATGGTATACTAGCTCGCGTTGTGACCAGAAGGTTTTGGGTTCTAAACCCGGTGGGTGGGTACTGATGAAGAGTCCCAAACTAAGACGGAACAGCTGTCCAGTATTCTCGATGGTTAGGACGCTCGCCGACCATGAACATGGTCCGAGGTTCGATCCCCTGCCGACGCACACCGGATATCTGTGGTCGGCCCGCTAAATTTGGGCTACCGATATCCATGCTGAAAATTCCATACTTGTACCAAAAATACAGTGTGGAATCAAGCTGTAATCAAAAAAAACTAATGTCAGCTCATGATGAAAATCTTGTAAATATGATTGTGTTTATATCTAGCTACATTGTGAAGAATGACTTTCTTTAAGAGGACTAATCAATCATTTTTATTATTGCTGTCTATTGATGTTATGTGTTCTTTGAACCTAATTCAGTTTGCATATATTCAGTTTATTCTCCGTTATTACGCAAAAATAACTTAATCCTGATCAACCAAACTGATGGCATAGTGTAATTTCAAGTAGCATGAAGGTAATAACCTACAACACACATCACCAACACTAACACTGACCCCTGTCACATTACTATTAAGTAACTCAACTAATTTTCTTAAACATTTTATTTTTCTAGTCTACAGCAATGGAAAATGGCATTTGACTCAGTGGATAAAGATAAATCAGGACATTTGTCGGCTAAAGAAATTCGTGGTCTATTACTTGACTGTGGTTATACGCGGTGTACTGAAGCAGATATAGATAGATGGATTGAAACAGTCGATAAGAATGAGGATGGAGAAATTTCCTTCGAAGAATTTGCAGCTTTTCTGGAAAGTAGAATTGAACAATCATAATGCGCAGTTGTTTCTCTTTCCAACAGCATTGTCACTGCCAACTATAATAACTTTCAAAAACCACAAAAAGAGGTTTTAATTTAAAAAAAAAAACGTTTTCCACAGGAAAGTTAAAAGCTGTGTGATATTCTGTGCAATTTCTATGTCAAGATAAAATTATTTCTTAACCGTGTATTTAAAGATCTCTAACGATTATTTGAAATTTTGACGAATAACAAATAAAACACAAGATTGTAAAATTGTATTCATCTGTTAGTTTGAAATTCGCAAGAGAAAAAATCTAACATAGTGACATGGTTTGCGCATGAAAATATCAACTGAAGACTAATAAAATACTGGCCATTATTTTATTTAAGATAAAAAACAGTAGTGCTTACTGCTGAGTAGAAAAAATTTCAGTCTCTTCGTGTAGTCAAATACATTGGTCATTTTGATTTGACACTAGTAACTAGTGTGATGTGTCTAGTCTTCTCTTTGGTGCAGACTGAATCCTGTCAGTCACGTTTGCAATATGGCCACCATTCTAGTCAGCTTGCCATCACGGTGCACAATGACCAGTGTGATGATATTATATGGTTGGAGGCAATCGGCCAAAGGAAGCCTTGCTTGACCTAGGTTTCGTACTAGTTAGCACTCATCAGCGAGGCGTATCCGCAACCTCGAAAGAACTCATATCGCTTCCGAGATTCGAATCCGCATCACCCAGCGCTGCAGTCAGAGACGTCACCACTGAGCTATTCGGGCTCGTGACTGACCTCCTGTAAGACTGTGGTGGATATTTTGATTTGACACTAGTAACTAGTATGATGCGTCTAGTCCTCTCTTTGGTGCAGACCTAGGTCCAAGGCTTCCTGCCGATTGCCTCCAACCATCTAACATCACCACACTGGTCATTGTTTTTCATCTTCAGAATGTCTATTGGCTGCCATAATACCTCTTGAATATGATGACCTCTCAGCGAAAAGTTCGACAGTTTGTCTTTACAGATTTGTCGAATCTAATCGTAATTCTGACTATGTCTCAGAAGGTAGTTTTTGGTATCAACAAGATTTCATAAACTTCTGTTACTCAATAGTACTTCTTGGATTTGATCCTTTTGAATCAGGTGTAATTTGATGATGAAAATAATAATAGGGCAATCATCCTATTACAACGCCTCTACAGCACATAAAGATATCTGTCTTATCAATACTATTAAAAAGTTTGAGCGATTGTGGAATAGATCAAATAAAGTATAATTATATTTCAATGGTTTACACACAATGATACGTTTTGTTCCATATTAGTTTGTTTATTAGATGTATCACACAGTCAAAGAAACAGTATTATTTACTGACTGACAATCATTTCATCAGTTATAATCCCACACGACTTCGAAACTTGAGATTTATAGTTTTCTTTGTTCTCTTCTATTTGTCGTCGTTGGGGTAGTAGAATTTTCCAGATATCTGGGCGGACAGGTGTTGAATGATATGATATGTTGATATGATTATGAACAATATTAAATTTTGTTCGAAACATCACCCAGTAAACACTAATACTGTTTCACTCACTGTGTGATATATCTAATAAACAAACTAATATGGAATTACTTACTACCGCCACAGTGACCAAGTTTTAAACATAAATTAATAAGTTCTGTTATTGATAAAACAAAACTATTCCAACAGTTTGACGTGAACACGGGCAGTAATTTTGCTCTAAATATTACCAACAACAAAACGTATCATTGTATGCAAACCATTGAAGTATAATTATACTTTATTATATCTGTCACAGTTTCCACTAAGTTTAAATACCTCAAATTACTCTTTCAGTGTTGTTCGATCGAATGCTGAGTTTTCATCCAACCAGGAATGACCAGCTTTATAACGTTAAGAACATTAGACACTCACCCCTTATAAGGGACCATCTGATGATCATTTCTATTGTAATTTTCACTGACTCAATTTCCTGCGTTCACCGTGCCGTCTCAATACGATCGAACTGGGCCTACCTGATGCAGATTTATAACTCATTTATAAACTCACAACATAGCAAAAGGTAAGAGGTTAAAGAAAAGGATTACATGGTCAAATAAAAGGAGCACTTCAGAAATAGAGCTACAAGGACAAATTAAGGCTGTCTGTCTCTCACCAAATGATATTATCTTACCTTCGCAAGTACCCTGCAAAAAACTTCTCTGTAAACATTATCACTGTTCCTCCCTTGGATTCTGAGTTGAAAATAGGGCTTCAACAACACATCTCCACTTCCTCCTATTTTCTGCTGTCCTCTTCATCTGGTTTCACGATTGTCCATAGTCTCTCATCTCCTCCTCACCCTTGAACCCACACTCAACTCGTCGTTTTGCACTCGGTTTCCAATCGAGCTGTGGCCTGACACAGTGTTATCTGACAGTCGCCTCAGCATGTGTTCAAGCCATCATCATTATCTTTGGAATAATAATTGAGCAACAAGATTTTGGTTGGTGCTTTACCATATTTTTTTTATAGCTAATTCTTTCTAGCTGGCTATCTGATCTCTGGAATGGAGCTAGCGAGTACAGCTGTTAATAAAAGTTTTCTGTAGCCTCTTAAAAAAGCTTTCCGTGGCACACCAAGTTTCTGACTCACATAGTGAAAAACCAACAAAACAGTCGTGTAGAAAATCCTAATTTCTTGTTTATGCTGAGGCGGAGTGCAGAAGATTTCCGAACCGATTTCAGATCGGTGAAGATATGTCCTGCCTTTCCAATCCTGGTTTCGGTGCTTGTTGTTGTTGTTGTTGCTGTTGTCGGTTGGTTGGTTGATTGGTTATTTTCATCACCTCCTTCTTTGCTGTGGTCACTCAAAACACACAGTATACATACCTGATAAGAAATCTCTCAGGTTGTACACAATTAAAGAAAAGCCAACGAAATAAACTATAGTTTTGACTTTAGTCAGCTTCATAAAGACTTGAAATTCTAACGTTATCCGATATATATTTCATGTATTAGTTTCTTAGGGATATTTTTGATTGCATGGAAGATTTCATCATGAGCTGACATCAATTAAAAACCACTAGAAAACCTGGGAGTACTGGACGGCTGTTTCATCCTATTTTAGAACTCTTCACCAGTATGCAATCAAACAAAATCCCTACAAAACTAATGCTTGAAAATTAATCCGATGCTCACTAGTGACTGACTGTATTCAGGCAGTTAACCTGGGGTTCTGCTGGAAAGCCGTGACCAGTAGGGTACAGCAGGTTGAATATGAGACAGTAACTCATCGAAGAAGACATTGCAAAATGGTCGCGCTATAATATGAACCCGCAGAAGTTAGAATTCAAGACCCATTGGATCGGGTCCCAGTGGCTCAATGGTCTACGAGCTCGCCTTATAACCAGAAGGTTCTGATTTCGAACCAACTGTGGTGGATGCGTACTGATGAAGAGTCCCAAACTAGGACAATGGAAACAGCTGTCCAGTACTCCCAGGTTTTCCAGTGGTTCTCTAACTGATGTCTGCTCATGATGAAATCCTCAATGTTATCCGATAAGTAGTGCTCTCACTACTGCGTTATATAAGTAGATATAGAAATAAAATAAAACTAAACGAGTCATCTTAAAAGGTGAAAATGAAAATTTAGATGTACTGAGTAGGTTAAAGAAAAGAAAAAGAAATGCTGTCAGAGCATTTTGTAGTTTCTTACTGTGATAAAAACACTTGAGATGATTATATTCTACTGCCTGGTTTTTTTTCTTTCTGAAAGTCTTACTACTAGTCAGTGTCAAGTAGGCGTAGATATAGTACTAGTTAATTTATTAAACTGAAAACAAGCGAAAGAAATGGATTCCCTTATCCTAAGATATCTCTCAATCACAACAACTCTGATGACTCTACAGATGACCTGCTCTATCTGATGACAGAAATTACCGAAGACGTTGAAAAACAAACTTTGAATTGCTGCACCCTAAGTATTGAGTATTGTTCGTGTAGTTAGGCATACATTCCATATTAGTTTGTTTATTATATATATCACACAGTGAAAGAGTATTATTCACTGGATGACGTTTCGAACACAATTTGTTGTGGTTCATAATCGTATGAGTTATAATCACACGACTTCGAAACAAACTAATGTGGAATTACTTACTACCACAGTGCACAAGCTTTACACATATATTAGTTAGGCGAACAGTTTGTGTGACTTGGTGTGCAGTAATGTTTACACCTTCCAAGTACATGCATAGGTTACAAACTTTCGCATAACAACAAGTACATTATAGAACAGTACTGATGTATATATTTCAGCATACACATCGGATTTGTTTTATAACCCTAGTAAACAGAAATCAAATATGTACACTGACACTTCGATGAAATGTGTTGTATAAATACAATTGTGTATTTGCTTATTCACTATGCTCACCACAGTATTTACAAAGCATTAATTTCCATTTCTTATAGCCATGTTTTCTTCTTATTATTATTATTACCAAGCTGCATACCGCAGTGAACAAGCTTCACATACTTAAATATCATAAAACACTAACTGATAGAGATGGTTACAGGGGTAACAAAGTTATTAGTATTATTATGAATTCCCCGAGTTCCAAGTGAAATATGGGGCTTCAAGCTAGAGGCTTGAAGTTTCCGTAGTAGTGACGTTTACTTTTACAGAATGGGGTTGCTAGCCTCATGCCCAACCTTCCCTCTTTACCAATCTTATTACTGGCTTGGCAAGGCAAAACGTGCGCCAACCAGGGATCGAACCCAGGACCACATGCATGGTTGGCAAGCATTCTACAGCTGTGCCACGAAGTGGAAATAACAATAGTAACAACTGACATAATAAAGGAAGTGTACACAAATTGAATAAATAAAATATAATTAGGGATTACCATACTTTAGCACAGAAGGATTAAGACCACGAAAATTGGAGGGATTGGACGAACTTTTTCTGTATACAGAGACCTGGCTTCTCTGTTCCACTGACCAAAGCTTCGGCAATACAGATGAGTCTGATACACAGTGATTTGGGTAAATTTACCTTTCGCCTTGTAGATGACTTTAAAGGTGGAGACTGTAGAGATAGGCTGATCATTATCGACCAGATTTTCAGTGATCCCACTTCTTATTGCTCCATTTCCAACTCTTCGCAATAAGAAGCGCGATTATTGAACATCTGGTCGATAATGTTATCTACAAGGCAAAAGTAATTTGATCAAATGAAATAAAACAGTTATCATTTCTTGTTGATCAAT